ACACAAGACACTATCATTATGTCTTCAAGATGAAGCAAGGCATTTAGATTTCTTTGCAGCCAGTTGGCAACATAGGCTCACCTTTGGTTTGACTCAGAACAGTGGAGTGTTATTTTTAAGGTTATTTTTTAGTTTTCAGGTCTCTTCTGTACTCTTTTTTTTCCTGTACTTCCTAAATAAATGGTCGCGTCTTGCACTATATTTAGTGAGACGTGACCATTTATTTAGGAATGTTCAGTGTAATTACATCAATTCTTAGTTATTCTTACTAAGGCAATTCTTAGTGAATTTTATTTAGATTAAAAGAAAACATCTGCGCTCTGAGGGGGAGAAAAGCGGAATATAGAAAACAAGACAAAGATAAAGCCAAACAGAGAAAACAAATTTCAGCTCAGATGAAAAAACAACTTTAAGGAAGAAGTAAACTGTCAGACACTGCCGCAATTCCGATTATGCTGAGATTCTACAGGGTATTAATATTTCTTTCAATTTGGACAACCAAACATGACTGCCTATATCATCCCCAAACAATCTACAAGTCAGCATTTGGAAAGAATAACCTTCTTCATCGACATCAAACGAATAGCTGGAGGACATGAAACCATGATATAAAGATCTCTTCATTTAGATGGGAGCGGGCAGCAGAAAGACGAAAAACTAAAAACCTTTCATTTGTTGGACCCATGCAGTTGGCTGGTCATAGAAAAAAATAAAAGATCACCAACAGTATTTCTTAAGCAGTCAATCAGTATTATTAGCCAGTAAACATCCAGAAAACACAAACCTCAGTCCCATTGAACGTGATGGCAGACATTTGACATGTAATACAGAACATTAATAAATAATGAAAATCTTAGGATATCTTGCTTCACATATTCTAAAAACAAGAATGCAATTTTTTGTACTCTCTGCAACATTTATCAGAAACATGGTGCTGCTGCTACACCATACTACAGGATTCATTAATTGGAAAAAAGTTTTGAGAACTAAACTGAGCACGAAGAGTCTGGAATTCACAGAGGTGCATCATTAAGTGGAAAATTCGAGTACAACAAATGAAATCGTGCCAAGGCATCGATCACTACACTGAGCGACTCATTCACACAGAGAAAGAAAAATGGAGAGAAATTCTATATAGTCATGGATGCGGTACTGTATCTTTCAACAAACTGTCGTTCTTTTCTTGGGTCTGATGATATCCCAAGTAGCCTGTTCACAAAGTGTCTTCGATCTAGCGAAGAAAATTTTCTTAATTTAATCTATCTGCTTGATAAACATAATTCAACTTGCCAAACATAATTCATCAAGAACCAGTCAAAGCACCAAACAAAGGTAAAGGAATCATATTTATCAAAGATAATTCAAAATGAAGTTATTAACTTAAAGGCAAAACAGTCTGAAGTAGCATTTTAAACGATATTAAAGAAGCTAAATGCTACACAATAATGCTTGATTACACTCCATATCGGAAAAAAATGAACCAGGTGATTCAATACGTAAAAACGTGTGGTGATACATATCAGATAAAGGAAAATTTAACTGATTTCGTAGAAGTTGGTGGGAAGATAGGAGAATGTATTTCTTAATGCATTGTAGAAAATTAGTGTGTTAATTGACACTTGATCGTTTAGATATTGGACAATGTCGGTGTCAGTCTTACGACAACGGGTCTAATATGGCTGGCATTTCTAAAACAGTACAAGATAGGATTACAGAAACGAATAAGATGGAGGAATTTGTACCATATTTGGATCACTCATCGTATCTTGTCAGTGTGCATTCTACTTCTTCGTGTCCAGAAGCAGTTAATCTGTTTGGAATTACTCAGAAAATACTTCGCTTTTTTGTCAGATGCACTACTCGATGGTATAAAATGTACAAAATACAACTTAAAAGGAAGCAACCAGACAAGATGGTCAGCAAAATATGTGGCTGTGAAAGTCCTTCTAATGAATTTACCGGAAATATTAAAATATTTAAAAGAAATTAAAGATATTTCTCTTGATGCGGAATCAAACCACGAGGTAGGACATCTGGTACATGCTGTGAAAATTTTTCAATTTACTATCAACCTGAAAATTTGAGATATTTTTTCAGAATTCAATCGAGTAAATATAGAAATTCAAAAGGAATTCCTCTTCTGCGTTCTGTGTAGGTAATGAAAGAACTGACCAAAACTGAGGAATTATAAAAAATGAGAGAAAAATTCTATGGAATATCGGATACAAGAGTCTAAAACAGTAGCCGAAAAAATTGCATTTGAGTCTATTCTAACGAAGAAAAACTTCCACGGCACAAAAAGCAATCTGATTAAATGTTTGAGGACGAATCACGAACACTTCAACCTGCTCAGATCAAAGTTTCAGCAAATTAAAACGCATTAAAAAATATCTACGATCATCGGTGAGCCAGGACCGTTTATCAAGTCTCGCATTTCTGGCAACCGAAAATCAAACCGCAGATCAAATTATGACAATTCCATGCCCTTATTTGCAGAACAAAAGGCTTTCAAAGTAAAATTTTAATTTTCGTTACTAATTCTGTGATATTTTAATAGCGTTAATCCCTTAACTGCCGCGGGCGTATACATACGCCTTGCTCAACCTATGCGTTAACTGCCCCGGACGTATATATACGCCCTTCCAAAATACTATCATTTGCTTTGTGCTGCTACCCGCAAAATTATTCGCAAAGCTTTGGAATGCAACACCACAATGACCTTGACAAAGTATGCGAAGAATGATACTATTTCAGAGAAGTGTGGGGAGAAATTAAAGAGAAGGATGTGTCTAAAGAGGTGAAAGTAATGACTGCGCGGTATTGGCTGGTGTTGTTTGAGTAAAATGTATTTTTTTTATTCTGTGTCCTCCGTTTTCGTTTACTTTTTGCACTAGGTTGCAGGAATAAAGATATATATAACGGATGTTTCAAACCCATTTATCTTTTTTGATGAACTGTTCATGCTTCATATTGTTACTGTTCGTGCTTCATATTGTTACTTGATATTGTGCTTCATATTGTTCGTGCTTCATATTGTTTTGTAGGCGAGTATATGAGCCAACACCTTGCAAATGAAAAACCAAGAACAAAATCATGGCATTCAACCAGTTCGGAAGAAATATATGTTTTTTAGGCATACAGATTTCACAAGGAATAACACTGAAGCCTGATATTACACTATACTGGTCTAAAAATGACTTCATCGAAACTCTATTTTAGAGACCTTTTTTATTATAAAAACATCATTCTTATTATACTTACATCTTTTTATTATACTTTTACTTAAAACATTAAATTTTGTGCATTCATTGTTTTACTTTTATTCTTTATTTTGTGAAAGTAAACAGTTTTTAGAAAGTAAAATTTGCCCTTATTTTCCCCTAATACATCGCATAACTACGCGCGCCTGTGTGAAAAACCGTGGCACTGGGAAATGAATCTTGTACGTTTTCCGCGGCAGTTAAGGGGTTAAGGCAGGTAAGAACTTAAAACTGCTTATGGAATAGGAAGTATGAAAAACAAGACAGGAAGCACGAATACTCTGAGTTATAGCCCATATTCTGTATAATCTTTTCAGAATTTTTCCTTTCCGCAATAGCCGATATTTTGTATGCAATGGCCCCATTAGTAGCTGAGCAATAAAAGCCGCTGAGCACTAGCAGTTCGGTCCGAGGGTCAAGTATATGTGAATGTGATGGCTATATGAGCATTTCCGTTATTTTCCCCCGTGTGTAACATACATAAGAGCTAGTTTCCCTTACAAATTTTTTTCCATGGGGCATTCCTCCTTTTCCATGCAGTGCCTAATGGCGAAACACATAGTAAATAATCAGACAAATGTCCTCAGCAGTGGCCGAGTTATTAAGACCGCTGAATACTGGTAGTTTGACCTTGCCTGGGTTCAAACCCAGACGAACAGGCTGGCAGCAAGGCTTGTTTTCATGGATTTCCTCATGTGGAACGTGAATACAAGCCAGTTTCCTTTAAAAAGTTTCTCCACGAAGGCACTCCTCTAAGCAGATAGCCCTCCTGTCTTTGCCATATTCATATAATCTAACCTAACGTAATTTAACCTACTGGTTAAATTACGTTAGGTTAGATTATATGAGCAGGTTGCAATAACACGGAATATTGAGAAGCTTAGATGCCCCTTCCCCTTAGAGAGGAAAAACGAATGGCTTCGAGGACTGAAGTGTTAGAAGCGCTTCAGGAGAGTTAGGATTAGGATTGAATCTGAAAGCAAGCTCACCAGAAAGGCGGTTCTCCTAGGAGGGGGACGATTTTCTAATTATGTAACTTTGGTACGTATTTTTCCTTTATAACAAAAAAAAAAAAAAAAAAGAATGCACGTAAGGAATTTAGTATAAAATGGAGCTTAGATTTTTACCTCAAACCCTACCTATTTCTGTATTTATTAAACAAATTAAAACTTGTTAGAGAAACTTAAAGGATGATGGGTGAGGGCGGCAGTTTTAGCTTCTGCCCCACATCAGAAAAATCAAAGATCCGATGCTGCATTGGATCAGATTTGCCATTTTTCAGTAGTTAAAAAATAATAATAATAATAATTCTGAAAATCAGTTTTTGTAGAGGCATTTCACATTTATAAAAAACCTTTCAGTTCTAGTTAATGATCCAGTTCTAACTAATCTTTACCCTCAGCTTTTAAGGGGATTATTTCATCGTCTTCATTTTTCATCAACAGATGAGACCAGTAACTGGACTTCCTGTTGTTATTCTTTAAGCACAGGGCTTCTCTTTTATCATTTGCACTTTTGCACCTAAGGAAGGAAGATCTATTAAACCTCCGAAACTAGTCCTGAAATTTACGCTGATTTTTGTTGCCATAACTCCTCCAATAAGTGAAATTTATATGCTTTAGTATTATATTTTACAGTATTATTATTAAGGCCACAAATTTAAAAGAGTTGACAAAACAGTTGTTTGCATAAGCAATTATATTCTCTATAAAATTAAGAAATGTAAACTTTGACACTAACCATTGATATTTCAGCACCAAGATGCAAATCTTTTATTAATGATGTATTCTTTAGCATTTCAGAAATTTCATCCTTCGAGCATTCTGAAACAGTAATTATGATAGTTAATAGAAGCATATACCTGGTTAGCTAATTCACAGACATGAACATATACAGTATAATACAATTTATTTAAATAATTCTTAAAGTGTAAATTATTTTAACATTAAGCAAAGACAAATGATTTTATACATATTTTAATTAATTCTTAGGTTCCCTTAGTTTAATTTATTACAAACTTTGGCAATGGAAAATTTATGTAACATTAAAAAAAATTAGTCAATTATAAATTTTTAGCTTTACATGCATACTTCAAAATACTATCAACGGTTTAAACAATTACGTCTAAATGTACCTGTTTAAATTTCTTTATGCAAGTTATTGAAAATAAATTTCTGCAGAAATATTTTTTATTTTAAGTTAGAAATACAAGATATTCATCTTTTAAATGTTTTAAGCGATATTTGTTTTAAAATATAAACAAATATTTAGCTAAAATGAAAAAATTAAGGATCATTTTTACTTGATGATCAATAGCAACTTCCTGTGAAATTTTTTAGGAACTAGAAATTTTCTCAAACTTTGAAAAAAGCAATTCTTTGACATGGAATATTTGAAAGGAGAAGCAAATCTGATGACAAAAAGTAACTTCTCAGGCCTTCTTGTAATTATACATTTAGTCTTACAATTATCATCTAAAAAAACTGCAATTAATTTCATTTTTAATTATTTGAATGGTAAGCAATATTTTGTTATGGTAATGAGATATTATGACAAAAGATGTCCATTTTTATATTAAGCAGCAATTTAGCACAGATTTAAAAAAATTTAGGGAAGTTTTCAGCATTTTGCTTTGTTAGCAAGAGAATTATTTTATCTTTGTAATGTTGTTAAAGCATTAAGCTTCTTTTCAGCAAGAAAATATACTTCTCAGAGTCTTATTTAAATTTCAATATTTAGTGCAGTTAATTTGGAGAAAAAAATGAAGCGGAAAATCCTAATTATGAAGCTTCTTTAGGACAGAATTTCAAAATTTCATTTTTTATGATAGACTACTAAATTTTAAACTAATTTTATATATATAATAATATTGAGGGCTGCATGTTCAAGGCTATCTGTCTGAATAATCTCTCCAGATCAACAAGAACAAATAGACAATTTATTATGAATAATAATGATACGCAGCAAAATAAATAACAGCAAATATCTCAAAGAGAATGAGGATTTTAACACACCTTAAGCAGAGAATGATTAAACTTGTTCTGTGCATACTGTTGTATTAAAGCATGGGAAATGACTAAATTCATTTTGTGTAGATTGTTATTAAAAAACAGGAGACCATAAAATTTGTTTTCTACGAATTATTGTTATCAGTGGGCTTTTTAGTGACAAAGTAACAATTTCCTAATAACCTGCCTCTTTTACAGTAAATTCCTAAAAATGGATTACAACAGAATACAATGTGTGCAAATAGTTTGTCAAATTATTCCTACGAGAATGAGCTAACTGATGATGATTCTAGTAACAATGAAATTATATGATATCCTAGGACCTTTTTTGACGAAGAATTTCAAGCAGATTCTAAAGAAGAATGGTCATCATCAGTATACAATCCACCAGTCTGGGAAGAGTTTTTATGCTTCTCAGGAATAAACACAGATAAAGTTCTAAATAGTGTAAAGTTCTGAATAGTACAGTGCTACAATAAAATATGAAATTTATCACTGAAAAAGCATGACAGAAAAAGTAAACATGTGGCAGTATGTTAGCCAGTCATCAAATCCCAACTGCAAGCACATAAAGGGACATGCAGTCAATAATCATGATGCTGGCCCAAACCATGATACTGCATCTCATATATCGGTCCGTTTCATGGATATTTTTGGGATGATAAGCAGTACCACTCTCATGCCAGATCAGTTGCCGTCTACAAGCTGATGACAGACTGATGTTACTCTCATCTGAGAATATACCACAAGACCAGTTTTGTTCAGTTCAATTGCAATGCTCATGATATCAATGCAGATGGGGTGTACGGTGCTGCCTAAACAATGAAAACCAAACAATAGATCTACAAGTATATAGTAGGCCTCCTTCTTCTAAACATCTGGCTATGGTATTTTGGGAGATCTGTCATGCTGTAACAGAAAGAAAGTTGCTAAACTTGGCAACCATTTGGTGACATTTTGGTTTGTTCTCTGTATAACTGTAACTGATCCCTACATGCAATTGTAACCGCATCTGACCCTTATATGTAACTTGAACCGGATATACCTTCCAGTAATTTCAAGAAGTGGAAAGTACTAGAGATTTCTCAGCAACCAGGGAAAAACATATAAGACAAGAGAAAGCATCAGTTTCTCAGTTGTTTAGTTCAGCTTTGAGTACAGAGTATTTAGATATCTCCGCATGAGCTTGTCTTTCAGATGTGCTTTGCATTATGATATGTTTAGCGTTCTTAGCAGTTTGCAGCATAACTGCTGATTGTACTCTGTGATACTGAAAAGACCTGTAGAAGTATTTTTGCAGAAAATTCCAGAATTGTAAAATGTTTCTTTTGGTAAACTAAATTTTATCAAGCTATAATTGTTTTTGTGTGCATTTAATCTATTACAAACCTGTACGCATGTAACAATACATTAGAAACCTATGTAAAAACTATAAAAAATTTAAATACTTTGTGACAATGTCGTGTGTGCTCTGTCAAGTAAATATGCAGTGTAACATAGTATATGCGTAAATTTTGCAATGCACCCTTGCACAAGGGGAAGTGCTTTGAAAGATATCACGCTTTAAAACATAAAATTTTTTATTTTTGAAAAAGTGTTTTTATTTTGTTTAACCCTTTAATCCTTTAATGAGCAATGGTTTTGTCAAGAAGCAAAAATAATTTTGTACACTAAAAAATCCCCACTCTCTGATGAGAGTCTAATGATAAAATTACTGCTTAAGTTGAGTTAAGCAATTCTTGAATTACCCCATGAGAAATATCGTAAATTCCGAAAATTACTCACAGAATAAGCTGCAAAATCCAGTTCTGCTACCACTCATAGCAACTCATATTCAGCTACTATTCATGGCAAATGAGTTCTCTTAGCTCTTATAGATGTACAGTACAATGTCCGTAATCCGGACTCATCGGGACTTCGGTGATTCCGGATTATAGACCATCAATTTAAATCTAGTCAGATGGCATGCAGAAATTATACAATTAAAAATATAAAACCATAGTTTATGAAATAAAGAGCAATTATGATCTAAAGAGTATCAAAATTTACAAAAAAAAAAAAGGCCTAATATTTATTTGTTTACTTTATTATACATTTCTTTCAATGTAAGTTGTTTAAGTTGCTTCGTTTTTTGTGCAAATACTTTCTATTTAATTCTATAAACAAGCATAATTTCTTGTCCTATTACAAAGTTCCACTGTTCAAGTCCTGTAATTGCTGTGTCGAAAATACTGACTAACTTGTCAATTGAAATTTTTCGTTTTCAATAGCCTCTCTGTCACTTTCTAATGGAAGCGTGCATGGATAAATGCTTTACGAGCATGCGAAGCGGACGCACACATTAAAACGTGCATGCGCGAGTTTGTGGCTTTGAGGTCCAGATTATAGATCATTCCGGATAATGGATGTCCGGATTACGGACTTTGCACTGTATTAATATGGTGTTACATACGCTTCATGAAAAATAAATAAAAAAAGCTTCCCAAATCTAAGCTGGCAAACTGGCAAAAAATTGCCAAATGCTACCAATTTATGGACACACCTTATTACCAAACCCATCAAGATGTCTTTACCCATACCTCTTGTTCTAGTTAGCTAACTGATGATGATTCTAGGCAACTATTTTGAATGTCAAAATACATTCTATTTTTACAATTTAAATGTTGTTGGATTTGGAAATGAATTATCTACAAGCCTTAAGAAATAAACACTTATATCCAAAACATGCCGTCATATCATCAATCACAGTGTAATAAATTACACAAAAATAAACCCTAACAGTAATAAATAAAACAATTTACAAAACATAAAATAGTATACAAAAACAATGCCATCAGATGAATTTAAGTATTTACAGATATTTACAACAATAAAGTCATGATTAGTCGATATAAACGGGCCACAGTTGGATGATTGACAAGGTCGGACGGGGCAGAATTTACAACAAATGCAACATTTAAAACTGTCAAAATATATTAACTTCAAAAATTACACAATAATAATTTGAATAAATTATAAATTTATAATATATCGATCAAACGAAAAACCTACAAACAACTACAAAAAGCAATCAGAGCTGATGAGTGTTAATAATTGGGTTTTGTTTGCCAGCTGTTTAACCCCTTCGCGCCGACTGTCACGTACACGTGCCAGCAACGAACACACTTATCTACCGGCTGACACGCAGGCGTGCCAGAGCATTGTTGCATTTTCTACCTACTGTCACGTATTTGTGCCAGTACCTTGGAACGTTTTTTCAAACTATAATTTCTGCCACAAGATGGCACTGTATGTCCATATGGTTTCAGATACGTGTACATTAGACTTTCTACTCGAAATGAGAGAGGCATGACTCACATACACATGTTTTTGATTATATAAACAAACGGGGAACTAAATGTTCCGAATGGCGTGATTTATGACGTCTCTTTAAATCGCACTTTATTCGCACGTGGTAGTTGTTTAATGTAAGTAGAAGTTTTATATGCGCTAAAGCGTTGAGTATTTCCGTTTACAGCTCAGTTTTTAGAAAATAATTAGATCTTGTTAGATGTGAATTCCTTCCGTTTTTACCGTTTCAATGTCGAAGCGTCAAAAATGTTTAACAGAGCATGAAATAGCAGAAATGATGCAAAATATTTCAGATATTGATTCTGAAATTCTGATATTCTGATATTGATTCTGAAAGATTAACTGAAAGACATTTTCCAAAACTTTGTTCAGAAGAAACTGATAAAAAAATGAGACAACGATGCTTCGTTCGTTCACATTCCCGGAAAAGTCCTCCAAAACGGCAAATGAGTTATTACGAGTTC